TGAAGATGGCTACTATTAAAACAACAACAACAACAACAAAAACAGAAAATTAAAAGTGTAGAGGAGGATATGGAGAAATTGGAACACTTATGTCCTGTTAATAGGATTGTCAAATGGTATAATCCCTACAGAAAACAGTATGAAGTTTCCTCAAAAAGTTAATAATAGACCTGCTTTATGATCCAGCAATCCCACTTCTGGGTATATATGCAGTTCAAAGTAATTGATAGCATGATCTTGAAGAAATACTTGCACACCCCTGTTCATAGCACAACTATTCATAATAGCCAAGAGGTGGAAGCAACCCGTGTCCTTCAATAGATTAATGAATGAACAAAGTGTGGTGTATACATGTGATGATTCCAGCCTTAAAAAGGAAGGAAATTCTGTGATCATGCTACAACATGTATGAACCTTGAAGTCATTATGTTAAGCGAAATAAGCAACCATGTAAAGACAAATACTGTATGAGTATGATTCCACATATATGAGGTACCTAGAGTGCTTGTGGGGCTGGAGGAAGGGAGGAATCAGGAGTTAGTGTTTCATGGGTATGGTGTTTTAATTTTTCAAGATGAGAAGAGTTCTGGAGATGGATGCCAGTAATATTGTGCAACAATGTGAATATACTTAATTCCATTGAACTGCACACTTAAAAATGGTTAAGATGATACATTTTACATTATATGTATTTTACCACAATTTTTTAAAAAACTGGGTCTTTCCATTTTCTTCCCTGAATCCTACATTATCTTATATACTCTAATTTATTTACCATTTTCCCTTCCCCCCACCCCCCCAAAATAGCCTATATTTTTTATTATAATCCCAAACTGTCAAAAATGCTGGGTCTGTGTGCACATACACACACGCATGCACAAGGTTCCACTTTGGGACTGGAACCAGTCAATTCAATCAAACAACCTGCCAGTTTGGCATAAAAGAAGTGGACTTTTTCTGGTAGAATATCCACTCATGACTAGCTCTAAAAGCTAAAGAGCCAAGGACTTAGGAATATGAAAAGCCCCAAAGCAGCCAAGCCCAAGAGCAGAAATGGTCATGAGGCTGCCACAGCCAAGAGATCCTCTCTGCTTCAGACTTCTTCTGAGCTGCTCACCTTTTTAGGTGACAAATGAACACACCAGATTAAATAATGACTGTCCTGAAAGATCATCTTCTAAACTTAAATGATCTTTCAGGACAGACATTTATAATTTATAGTTTTTTTTAAATTTATAAATTTATAGCTACTTTGGAAAAAGTCTGTAATTGCAGATTTGCGGGATTAGGCAAGTCTTCATCTAGATCTCAAGCGAATGATACAGCAGCCCCTGGCTGCCATTTCTGCCTGACCATTTTAGCCTCCCAGTTCCCACTTCCATTATTTTCTTTTTTCCAGCTGTCCCAGTGGTGGGACAGGCAGACCAGATGACATCTGATACAGAATATAGCTATGCCCAGCCTCCTCCCACCTCCACTTGCATGCATTCACTGCCCATTTAAATGCTGCCAGGGGAAGAGCAGCAGGTTGCCCCATGCCTTATCCCCTGCTTCTCTGCTTCCCTACAGCCCAGAAAAGGTTTCTTTCATATCTTTGTCTTAAGGGTCTTTTAATAATGAAAATGGCCTTAGCACAAATTAGCTTCCAATTTCTTCCGTAATGGAGAGTGCTGGGGAAGGAAAACTGCTGCTGCATGAGCAATGCCTGCTCCTGATCTGCCCCCTCCACAGGTCCTGCTCTACTGAGCACAAAGGCTTCCAGGGAAGCTGCAAGTAAGCTACTAGCAGCAGACCCTGCACTCTCTATTAGCTCCTCACACAATAGCCAAATCTTTAAAGGGGAGACCTGATTCCCCAATGATGCTGCCAGGATGGTTTCTATTCACAGGGGTGTCTGTGCCCTTCTCAAAGCACAGCCCCTAAGCTGTTTGGCCTTAACCAGATTCTAGGTCCCAAACAGCAACAGAGAGGCATTGTCCCTACAAAGATTCCACCCAAGACGGAGAAGAATTCTCCAAAGACAAATGGACAGGATCAGACCTTGTAGTCAAAGAAAGCACAATTTCTAAGGTCTGACCTCTAACCCACATCCCAGAAACTTCTAGAACCAAGTAAAGGAGAACAGATGTAGTCTGTGATTTAGAAAATATTTCCAGGAAAATGGTAGCATGGAAGAGCCTTCCCCAATTTTCATTAAAAATCTGTAAAATCATCTCAAAATAAAAACATTTTCTAAAGAAGCATGAGAATGAGCCCCACCCAGATTCCAATAGGAAAGTCTCCAAGGTCATCAGTTGGTCTTTTTCTGGAGCATCTGACCTTGTTCACGTAGCCCCTTCCCTGATAACATTGTATTCCCTGACTGGCCCCTCTAAGGTCTGGAACTCCTTGGTCCCAGAGGCACAAACAGCCGCTAGCCCACTTTAGCCTTCACACTTCTAGTGTGGGTGCTTTCTTACTTGTGTGCCCAAGTCCCTCTAGCCTGAGAGAGTAAATGAGTCATTGCTCCAGTCATTTAGTAAGTGACAGATGAGCCATTCCATTCACAAAAAGCTTCTTACATCTGCCTGAACCTGAGTGGCTCTCTTTAAATTACTAGAGGATTTGAAAGGAAATATACAGCTGCAAGGGTAACTAATGCTGAAGAGGTGATACAATAGTAGGAATTTGCCAAGTACAACACCAGGAATACTATGACCAACATCTTTAAAAAGGAATCTGCAAGGAACTGAGTCGAGGAAGAATCAAAAACAAGAATCCAAAGGCATTTAGAAAATATTAAAAATTGAAATGTCACATATTAAAATCTTCAAGACACAGGTGAGGTTGTACCCATAAGCATTGTTCCTATAAATATTTTTATTATTTAAGAAAAGAAGGAAAATTCATGAATTAAATATTCAAATTCATATTTCAGAAAACATTAAGTCCTAATGAATATGTGATAAAGAAAACAAAAGAAGGTAGAAGGAAAGATAGATTATTTTTCAAAATAGAATTTAAGAGATGGTTTTAGAAAAACATATAAAATAGACAAGACCCTGGCAAATCTAATCACACACACAAAAAGCCTATGAACAAAATG